CAGATTCACTTAACAACCGGGTTACTCACTTATCAGCTGCAGCGATTCACTTAACAACTGTGGCAAAAAAGGTCGTAAAATGGGGCAAATGTTAACTTAACAAATGTTTTGCTTAACCACAGATATATTGGGCTCCGCTGTGGTCGTAAGTAGAGGACTATCTGTGTTCGGCTCCTCCTGGCCATCGGAGGCATGAAGGAAGGAATCTCCCAGCTCGTGTTTGCATCCAGCAATTCTGCACATACCTCTCTGTGAAAAGGACCACCAGGTCTTCCTTGTCTGCATAGGCTTCCAAAGCCGATTTCAAAAGACGGATCTTCTGTCCACCTGTTGCTGCTCCCTGGTCCTCTCCATCCTGCCATTCTTCGCCTAATCCCAGGACCTGGACGGATCAAAGCCAATGTTGTGACAAGTTTCAAATCACTTCGTTCGTGCTTGTTCCCTCTAAACTGAACTGAACGAAACAGCTAACATCTTGTTTAGTGAACGGCTTTCACTGTGCTGGGAGTTTTCGTTTTTTACAGTATGAACTATAACAAGACTCCCAAGGCTTATCGTATTATAGTAGCCACTTAATAAGTTTGTGCTTTGGGGACAAGAACGAAAAACAATTCGCGACTAACAGTTGTAGAAACAACTAACCTTATTGCAAACTCATGAACTGAAGTTAAGAAACTGTGAATAGAATATAATAGAGCAGAACAGAATAGAATAGAACAGAATAGAATATGGAAAGGAATAGAATAGTATAGTAATAGAATGGAATAGGAAAAGAACAGAATAGGAGTAGAAATAATGAGTAGAGTAGAGTAGAATAGGAGTAAATAATGGAACAGAATAGTAATAGAAATAATGAATAGAATAGAGTAGAGTAGAATAGAGTAGAATAGAATAGAATAGGAATAAATAATGGAACAGAATAGTAATAGAAATAATGAATAGAATAGAATAGAGTAGAGTAGAATAGGAAAGGAATAAATAATGGAACAGAATAGTAATAGAAATAATGAATAGAATAGAATAGAATAGAACAGAACAGAACAACTTTAAATATACACTTTACATGTCACTTTAAATATACACTAATCAGCATACATTAAAATTAAATTTCGTTGCATTCAGCTCTCAAAGGGCAACCACCTCCAATATACACTACATAAACATGACAAAAAGTTATGCATATACCCACATACACAAACATATATGACACAGAGAAACAACACAGTCTAGTTCAGATGTATACATGTACATGGCAAGAAAAAAAGAATCCTGTGAATTTACAAGAGTGAATGGCATAAGGAACAAAGCGGTTACAGAATCTGGTGGTCCTGCTATAAATACTCGGAAACCTCCTCCCGGAGGGGAGCAACAGGAACAGGCCGTGAAGTGGGGATGTGAGGTCTCTAACTATGCTCGGAGCTCTAAGCACACAGGAGCATTTGTAAGCAGCATCCTGAACAACGGAAGCGAGCTTCCTGTAATCTTCTTGGCTGTCCTCACCACTCTCTGTGTGGACCTTCTGTTTGAGGCTCTGCTATGTGCAGTATATGCCGCCTAGTTTTGCCTCATGCTTTTCCAAGGGTGGATTTTAAAATTTGAGGAAATGCAAGGAGTTTTGAATTAGGATTTGGATTTTGTGTTGATATAACCTGGGATCTCTATTCAGATTAGGTATTTGCTAGTACCTTGAGGTTATAGTTAAAAACCTGGGCTGAACTTCTGAAACGCTTGAAGCCTTCTGTCTCCTTGGTAGCCACAGTGAGGACCAACAAATTATCTGGATGGATTGTAAAAACAAAACAAAACAAAGAATTAGACACATATCTCCCAAATTATCCTCTGTTGCTACATCTTCCTGCATTCCTCAATCACTGCAACCTTTTTTTAAAAACAAAACAAAAAATGCATTCTTAAGAGACACGGCGCAGTTATAAAACTCAGGCTGTGAATGGAAACATTTCCAGATTTATTTCGTAGACTTTCCCCATTTCTTGAAAAAAAAATCTGCTATTTGTGAACTGGGAAAGAGACAGTCTGAAAAAAATCTCACCTCTCTTTTTAATGAACAAATAGCCCAGCCTTCAAAGACTATTTTTTCCCCTCTCCCTAAATACTGACATTTTTCCAAGACGTACGTGTGGGACGTGAGCTTAAATGAGTCAGAAATGGGTGCCTGTGCTTTGCCTGAATCCTTCCCGTCACAAAACCTGCCTGGAGTTGACCGGCCAGAATAAGCAAAGCAGCTGAACTGTAATTTATAATTACACTTCTCGGGTTTCTGCTAGCCTGGTGAGCTTGTAGCACAGCAGGGAAAACGGCAAGCCGAAAACTTTTTGGAAATATAGAAGGCAGCCTTCACTCAGGAGAGCTAGCTCAGATGCCTTCAGGCTTGTGTGAAACATCGCTGGGGAAACTTCTTGAAAACTCCACATCAAAAGCATGGCAGAAAGGCAATTTCTAGCCCTGTTTGAGAAGGGAAAGTCTGTTGTTGTTGTTGTTAATTGCGAAGTCGTGTCCGACCCATCGCGACCCCACGGACAACGTTCCTCCAGGTCTTCCTGTCCTCTACCATCTTCTGGAGTCCTGATTTATATCCAGAGAAGATTGCCGGCTGAAGACCCCACATGAACGATTAAGGATCAAGGCTATTTTATTTGCCCTCCACTGCAATTTAGCAACACAGATTTGAGGCCAAACACCGGAGACATAATCTGGACCTCACAAAAGGTGACAGATTTTGAATAAAGCTCTGAAAAAAACGGTCCCCTGCCGATTTCTTGCTACCACGGACTTAAGAAGTCTGTCAAAGTGAGCAAGAAGGCACAAGTTGGGATAGTTTAAAAAAAACTTATTTTTCTTTTGCAAAGAAAGAAAAGCAGAAAGGGAGATTTTAAAAAAATACACGATGGTGTTGTGCCGAGCGAGCAAATAAAATATTTATGACAATCGCAGACCAGCGTAAGTAAAATTGCACAAGTGAGGCACAGTGTCTCTCATCCTCTTCTCCCTTCCCAGGGAAAAACCAGTTTCCCCCAAACTTTTCAACCCCCCCACCTCCCCGCCAATGATGGGAATGGCTGCCTAGAGCGCACTGCAAGAGATGTGCACACACACACACACACAACACACCCAAGCATGCATTCCTTAGCTTACCGTCTTCTGCTGCGTGGTTTCCACCCTCCAAGGGGGTTAGGAAAAACAGAAGGAGCAGCAGAGATGGTGGGGACATTGTGGGGAGACTTCAAGGAGGGGACCCCACTTTGTGAAGCCAGCTGTTGGGGGGGGGAAGGCTGCAGATTTAGCTTGGGAAGCAAGCCCCTCCTTGCCAGCCCAGAGGGGGGGGGGCTGATGTGCCACGCAATGAACACGCCCCCCCTCCAGTGTGGGGAGGAAGGGAGGGACAGAAGCCTCCTCCTCCTTCTGCTCCTCTCTTCCGTCCGCCCATCCCGGTCTCCCCCCCCATCGTCCTCCTTCTCTCTTGGGTCCAGATCCGGAGCCTGGCGTCCAGCCCTGCAGAAAGGAAGGCAGAAAAAGAGGGTTGCACAAAATCAGCAGAGGTTGCTGCCACAACTGCAGCCGGGACCCCCACTTTATTCTCAGTCTCACAGGCCCCAAAGCCCAAACCCGCCACCAACTTCCTGCACTTTTTTTTCCCTAGAGGTTTGGAGCCTAATTCCCAGGCGGTCTGTCCACCGGCTGGGGCCGATGGAAACTGGAGTCCCAAAGAGAATGTGGGAAAGCAGGGAAGTTGAGAGACGGCAGGGCAGAGCTTCAGTCAGAAGGGGTTTTCTCCCCCGCCTTTTGAAAAAGGGTGCTTTGAGAGGCTCAGAGATCTCCTGCTGCTGGTAAACAGCCCTCTGCATAAGCTCAGAGACCCTGTGCCTTCAAGGAAAGCCCTGGGAACAGAGGAGTAGTCTGCAGATGCTCTGAGATCTCCTGATGCCAATAAAAAACACTTTGTAGACCCTCAGAGACCCTGTGCCTAGAGGAAGCCCTTAAGAGAAGCACTTTGCACGGGCTCAGAGATCTTTTGCACAGGCTCTGTGACCCTCTGCCTTCAAGCAAAGCCTCAGGAGAAGAGAAGCACTCTGCACGGGCTCAGAGATCTCCTTCTGCCAACATAGAGCCCTCCGCAGAGGCCCAGAGACCTGGGAGAAGAGACGTGCTCTGCCTAGACCGGGGTAGGCAACCTCGGCTCTTTTATGACTCTGGACTTCAACTCCCAGAATTCCTGAGCCAGCCATGCTGAGGGGAAAAGGAGAGGTTTCCATGCTTAGCCATGCCGGCTCAGGAATTCTGGGAGTTGAAGTCCACGAGTCATAAAGCAGCCTAGGCCTAGGCAAGTAATCTTGGCTCTTTTATGACTCGTGGACTTCAACTCCCAGAATTCCTGAGCCAGCCATGCTGAGGGGAAAGGGAGAAGTTTCCATGCTTAGCCATGCCAGCTCAGGAATTCTGGGAGTTGAAATCCATGAGTCATAAAGCGGCCTAGGCCTAGCCCAGGGGTAGGCAACCTTGCCTCTTTTATGACTCGTGGACTTCAACTCCCAGAATTCCTGAGCCAGCCATGCTGAGGGGAAAGGGGGAGGTTTCCAAGCTGAGCCAGGCTGGCTCAGGAATTCTGGGAGTTGAAGTCCAGAGTCATAAAAGAGCCGAGGTTGCCTACCCCTGGCCTAGACCCAGAGGCGCTCCCCCCGCCTCTCATTCCCTCCCTCCCCCGGCGGGGGGCGCTCTGCGGATGCTCAGAGGCCGCCTCTCCGCCGCCAGAGGACCCCCTCGGCCTCGGGACGTTCCGAGCCCAACAGAGGCGGAGGCGGAGGCGGAGGAAGCAGCGGAGGAGGAGCCGCCAACGCCCCGCCCGGGCCCGCCCCAGACGGGGGAGAAGCAGCGGCGGCAGCGGCGGAAGAAGCGGAAGCGGCGGAGCGACTAGGCCGCGCCGACGCCGGGGACTCGCGTAGCCGCCGCGGCCGCCATGAGCTAGCTGCGCCTGCGCCGCCCCGATGTGGCTGCAGCAGCGGCTGAAGGGGCTGCCGGGGCTGCTGTCCAGCAGCTGGGCGCGGCGCCTGCTGGCCCTGCTGGCCTTCCTGCTGGTCGCCTCCTGGTACCTGGGCAGCGGCGGCGCCTGGCCGCGCCTGCTGCTCCGCCTGCGGGCCGGGGGCGGCGCGGGGGCGGCGGCGGGGTCCTGCCTGCAGGCCGAGAGCCGCGCCTGGCGGAGGGCCGGCGCCCGGCTGCTGGGCGGGGGGGACTCGGGCGGGCCCCCCGGCGGGGCGCCCCCGGGGCTGGTGGGCAACGGGCACCTGCTGCTGGACGCCCAGGCCAACCGCCTCTGGGTGGTCCCCCCGGGGGGAGCGGCCCCCGGCCCAGCCTGGCCCACCGACTACGGGCCCCTGGCCCAGCTGCGGGGCCCGGCCGGGGCTGAGAGCGAGGCGGGGGACTCGGCCCTGCTGCCCAAGGAGGGCACCCTGCGGAGGGTCCGCTGCGTCCAGCCTGGGGGTCCCGGCGGGGGCTGCCTGACCGTCCGGGAGGAGCTGCTGGCCCACCGGGGCCGCCCCCACCTCTACCTGCAGCGCCTGGCGGTGGACAACCCCACCGACCGGCTGGTGGCCCTGGAGCTGGCCGGCCCGGGGTCATCCTCCTCTTCCTCCTCCTCTTCCTCGTCCTCCTCCGGCCGCTCCTTCGCCACCAGCCTGGAGAAGGCGGGCGACCGGCAGTTCTTCCTCTCCTCGGGCCGGGCCCTGCAGCCAGCAGGCGAGAAGCTGGTGCTGGTGGTGGTGGCGGCCAAGAAGCTGGTCAACCGGGTGCAGGTGGCGCCCCGCTCGCGCTTCGAGGAGACGCTGGTGTCGGTGGTGCTGTGCTCGGAGCCCATCGAGGCCGCCCAGCTGGACGAGACCTTTGGGCGGCTGCGGGAGGCGGCCAAGAGGGAGATGATGGAGGTGCTGCCCCTGCGGGCCGAGGAGCTGGTGCAGGAACACCGCCGGGCGTGGGACGAGCTCTTCATCTCAGGTGCGGGGCTGCCACCCGGCTTGGAGCCACTGACCGCGGGGCAGGACAGCCTCGGTGCTGGGCTTTGGAGTTGGGCAGTGCGGTTGAGAGGCGTCCCCAGGGAGGTGCCTTTTGGAGGTTGGTGCCAACCAGGTGCCACAAAGATGGGAGTCCCTCCCTCCTTCCTTCCTTCCTTCCTTCCTTCCTTCCTTCCTTCCTTCCTTCCATCCATCCATCCATCCATCCATCCATCCAGTTTCCTTTCTATCTGTCCATCCTACCTACCTACCTATCTTCCTTCATTCTTTTCTATCTACCTTCCTTTTCTCCATCCATCCATCCATTTTCTTTCCTTTTTATCTACCTTCCTTCCCTCCTTCCTCCCTTCATTTCATCCATCTATTTTCCTTATTTGTCTATGTCTGTGTCTTTTTTCCTTCTTTTCTATCTACCTATCTTCTTCCTTTTCTCCATCTGTATCTATCTATCTATCTATCTATCTATCTATCTATCTATCTATCTATCTATCTTTCCTTCTTTTCTATCTACCTTCCCTCCCTCCCTCCCTTTCATCCATCTATTTTCCTTCTTATCTGTCTCTGTCTGTCTGTCTATTTTCCTTCATTCTTTATCTACCTTCCTTCTTCCTTCCTTCATCTATCTATCTATCTATCTATCTATCTATCTATCTATCTATCTATCTATCTATCTATCTATCTATCTATCTATCTATCTATCTATCTATCTTTCCTTCTTTTCTATCTACCTTCCCTCCCTTTCATCCATCTATTTTCCTTCTTATCTGTCTCTGTCTGTCTGTCTATTTTCCTTCATTCTTTATCTACCTTCCTTCTTCCTTCCTTCATTCATCTATCTATCTATCTATCTATCTATCTATCTATCTATCTATCATCTATCTATCTATCTTTATTTTCCTTCCTTTTCTATCTATCTACCTTCCTTCCTTCTCTCTCTCCCTCCCTCCCTCCCTCCCTCCCAATAACTCAAGGCTCTGAACACGTCCAACACATTTTCCTCCTGCTCCTATTTTCCCCACAAACAACAACGAACTATGAGGTCAGTTGGCTGAGAGACTGGCCCAAGGTCACCCAGCTGACTTCCATGGCTAAGGCGGAAGGTGAACTTGCAGTCTCTTGTTTTCTAGGCTGCTGCTTTAACCACAGGGCGCTCCAAACTTGGGAATGTTAAAGACTTGTGGACTTCAGCTCCCAGAATTCCTCAGCCAGCTGTGAAGTCTGCAAGTCTTAAAAGTTGCCAAGGTTGGAGACCCCTGCTCCAGTGTTCCTTACAATCCTGCTTGGGCTGTAGAGGTGCTGAGATGCACCACGAAGCTTGTCATTGACTTGAGAGTTGTGGCTGACACCTCTCCTTTTGAGATGGTTTCTTGGTAGGCAAGATTAGGAAGTCTGCAAAAAAAATAAATCACAACGGCTGCCTGCCTTAGCAGTAGTTGGAGGAGTGGAGAACAGGTTTTTGTTTCTGAGGATGGAAATCTTGATGTTTTCTCCCCCAAAGTAGTAGTATCTGGGGTACAGTATCTTCTACTCGTGTTCCCGGGAATTGGCACAGAGAGTAGGAACATCCCGTGTTCAGGAAGGGAAGGTGAGGAGTTCCAACGCCTGCCTCTGCAGAGCAAGAATGCAGAAGTCGCCTAGTTGGGACGGAGTATTTTATAGTCGGTATTATTCACGTAAAAATACGATGGTGGTTGCAAAGGCCTGACCAAGCCTGGAGTACAGGTAGTCCTCAAATTACGGCCACAATTGAGGTTAAAATTTCTGTTGCTAAGTGAGACATTTGTTAAGTTACTTTTTTCTCCATTTTACGATCTTCCTTGCCAGAGTTGTTAAGTGAATCACTGCCCTTGTTAAGTTAGCGACACAGTTGTTAAGTGAATCTCACTTTCCCGTTGACGCTGCTTGTCCGAAGGTCGCAAAAGAGGATCACGTGACCCCGGGACCCTGCGACCGTCATAAATATGAATCAGTTGCCGAGCACCTTAAGTTTGATCGTGTGAACACGGGGAGGCTGCGATAGTCGTAAATGTGGAAAATTGGTCCTAAGTCACTTTTTTCAGTGCTGTTGCAACTCTGAATGGTCACTGAAAAAAACTGTTGTAAGTCAAGGACTACTACCTGTGTTTCCCAACTGGTGCAGGTCGTGTGAAGGTTTCTCACTTCTTGGAGAAGTAGGGAGAGAGTAGAGAAACTCCTTGCCGTGTAACTATGGGTGAGATTTTAATGGGGAAGATTTCCAGCTTGCCCGGCTGTAATTGCAGAGAAGGGCAGAGTTCACTGACCAATCCTTTCTGCTTTTCAGGTGTGGAAATGCGCAAGATCACCGATGCGCACACCCCTTCCAGCGACACCGTCAACATGACGCTCTACTTCGTCCTGTCCACCACCCCGGCTCCCCTCCTGGACCCCCACATTAGCCCCGAGGAGAAGGAGAGAATGGAAGCCACTTTGAACTATGCGGATCACTGCTTCAGCGGCCACGCCACCATGCACGCCGAGAACCTGTGGCCCGCACAGCTGTCCTCCGTCCTGCACGTCTTGCAGCTCTCCAACCTGTGGAAGCTGACGCTCCAGAAACGCGGCTGCAAGGGGCTGGTGGCCGCCGGGGCCCACGGCCTCATGCAGGGGATGGTGCTCAGCTTCGGCGGGCTGCAGTTCACCGAAAACCACCTGCAGTTCCAGTCGGACCCGGAAGTCCTTCAGAACAGCTACGCCTTGCGGGGGATCCATTACAACAAGGACTTGATCAACCTGGCCGTGCTGCTGGACGCCGAGGGGAAGCCCTTCCTGCACGTCTCCGTCAAGTTCCAGGACAAGCCGGTGAAGCTGTACGCCTGCGAGGGCGGCTGCTCGAACGACCCCGTGGAGCTGACCTCGGAAGTGCACGGCCACACGTTCCCCGTCATGGTGACCCAGCCCATCACACCTCTGCTGTACATCTCCACCGACCTGGTGCACCTGCAGGATCTCCGCCACACGCTCCACCTCAAGGCCATCTTGGCCCACGAGGAGCACATGGCCAAGCGCTACCCGGGCCTCCCCTTCCTCTTCTGGTTCAGCGTGGCCTCCCTCATCACCCTCTTCCACCTGTTCCTCTTCAAGCTCATATACAACGAGTACTGTGGGCCGGGGGCCAAGCCCCTCTTCCGGAGCAAGGTCTAAGCCCCCCCCCTTCCCCAGCCCGGTTCGGCTTGATGGCTGAAGTGGGCCCCGGCTTCTTCTCTCCCTGACCTCAGCCTGGAAGCAGGACATCCGCAGGAGCTTGAGCGCATCTTCGGAAGAAGCAGCCTTTGTTTGGTGTGTGCGTGCATGTTTGCCTGTCTGGAAGACGAGCCCTCAAGGGGGAGGTTGATAAAAGACCGCTTAAAAAGAAAGGGTCTTCTCCCCAGTGATTCAGGGTCCAGCCCCTGTAATTGTAGCCATCATAGATTTGTCGGGGTGCCGCTCGAAAAACGCTTGGCAGGCAGTGTGATGGGGGAGCCCGGCGTAAGGGTGCTGAAGCTGACACCCCCAAGTGTTAAGCAAGGACCCTCACTGTGCTCCCTCACTTGCATCCTGAAGGAACCGAGATGATGGAGGAGAGGATGCTCCTTGGGGGCCGGAAAGCTTGTCACCGATGATCCAGCTCGCCCCATAAATGCAGTTTATGTGGATTATTAATAATTAAACTTCCATACCTTGTGGCTCCTTCCAGTACATCTAGGCCTAGTTCAGGGGTAGGCAACCTTGGCTCTTTTATGACTCGTGGACTTCAACTCCCAGAATTCCTGAGCCAGCCAAGCTGGCTCAGGAATTCTGGGAGTTGAAGTCCATGAGTCATAAAAGAGCCAAGGTTGCCTACCCCTGGCCTAGTTATTCAGCTGAAGAGCAGAGACGGGAAGCGAGGCAAGGACAGGATTCCGGGTCTTCGGCCAGGTGGGGACGGATTCTCATCTGACCTGAAAACCAGTGTGTAAACAGGGCAGGGAGTCAATTGGAGCTGCTGGGTGCTAAATATATATACATAACAAAAAAAACCCCAACAAAATAAAACAGTGTGGGATGGTTTGTGGGAAAGAGATCCCTTGTACAATATGTGCATAGGATTGGAATCTGTTTTTTCTGAGTCTCTGGCTTCCTTTCTTCTCTTAAATTTGGTTGCTGCCTCAGCTATTCAGAAAAATATATATATATATATTTTTAAGAGGGATTGACCCCTTTTGGTCAGTCCCTCTTGAAACCTCCCCATCTTTGCCAGTGTTAATAACTGTGGCAGAAATTTATTGGAAATAAGCACGGCGAGATACCCTTAAGTCCGTTTCCTTCCCTCCCCCCCCTTTTTTTTTCTTGGTTTGTATTCCAAAACTTTCTGTGGAATTTCAGAGCCGTTTGCTCTCATCATTAAAGCAGTTAAAAAAAGAGTCTTCTTGGTGGAATGTGTGTGTGTGTGTGTGTGTGTAGATTGTGTATGTGTGCAGGTGCATTTTTCAAAGACAGCCTAGCGCAGGGGTCTTCAAACTTGGCCCTTTTATGACTTGTGGACTTCAACTCCCAGAATTCCTCAGCCAGGCACACTGGCTGAGGAATTCTGGGAGTTGAAGTCCACAAGTCATCAAAGGGCCAAGTTTGAAGACTCCTGGCCTAACGAGAACAACAGGAAGATGGAACGTTCCAGAAAAACACCTGAGGGCTCTCAAGAATGGCTGCTGTTTGAGTGACTCAGTTTCAATCTTGGGTCTTCTATCCAAGACAAGACCCTAAAACAGCATTGTGTGTGTGTGTGTGTGTGTGTGTGTTCCTGCAAAGGAGGTGCAAATAGAACACAACCATTCACGGTGGCCCCTGGGTGTCCTAACTCTGTCCCAACATTCCCCCCAGGCCCAAAGACCCCATTGCTTCTTTCTTCTGTTGGCTTTCATTCCCATTTTGTTCTTTGATGAAAAATACTTGAAAAAAAAATTAAGGATTTTTATGTTGATGGTAAGCGATAAGGAGATGTTTAATCAGCACCTTCGGTTTGATTGTTCTTGCTTGGCTTCAGTTTAAAAAGGGGGGGAGATTTCTCTCCCCTCCTTACCCCTAAACCGAGTGTTGTTCTCATTTCTTCGTGTGGGCTTTAATTTATTGTTTGTGGGTTTTTGGCCTCTGTTTTGTTAACCATTCCAGATCGAATAACAGCCAGCTAAGAATGTACCTATACTTAATTTTAACTCATGCTTTATAACACTGATAACAGGAGTTCTCGATCTTCCTCCGAAGACAGTGTACAAAATACACAACTTTAATTACTTTTATTAGGAGTGTGGGGGTGAGTGGCTGTTGATTTAATCTTTCACCAAGCTTATTGCAGTGTCCTGGGGTGGTTCCCCCCCCCCTTAATTCTAGAGAGATTTAACAGATTTTTCTGATGATTTGAAAACAATTGTGATTATTTTAAGATACCAAAGGTTCTGGGTTTGGGGATTTTGGGGGTTTTTTTTGGTAAGAAATAAAAATCTTTCAAATCTGCTTCTACTGGCTTTGTTCTTTTTTTTTTAAGTCCTTGTTTTGCTCAGGAATTGATTTTTCTTGACTGCAAACAAGGGTCTGGAACGGGACAGAGAAAGGCTATTTGATCTCTCTAATCTCTTCGCCTTTTATCTTGTGCTTGGCCATGCTAATGCTGTCGGCAGAAAAGGATTTGTGGTGCCAAATCTCGTCCACAAAAAAGGGGGAGAGAAATTCCCGCAGCAAAAACTTTACCTGTTAAGAGAGGACCCTGGGATCAAAAGTGGAGACCTCACCTCGCAAGTAAATCTTCCTGGAGAAAAGATAAATATTTTGAGAACAAAACACCCTCATTTAAAAAAGTGGTCCAGCTAACCTCCCCTCTCATTACCTCCAACAGACCTATCTCCTGGCCCTTTTCAGTGGATGGGTGGTCCTCGACCTGCGACCACGATTGAGCGCAAACTTTCCGAGGCCAAGCGGCTGAGTGAGTTTTGCCCCATTTTACGACCTTCAAATCAAATCGAATCAGTTTATTACAGCCATATGGCCCCAAAACAGTAAAATATCCAATTGTAGGCTACTTGCATGCATGCATGCATAAAAATGCTCTGAGCATGATCTAGTGGTAGATAAGAACACATACTGTATAACAGGTCCCCAACCTTTGGGCTGCGGCCCACTAGTGGGCCGTGGCCTGCTGGCCACCGGGCCACAGGACAGGCTGGCCAGTGCGTGTGCGTGTACACCTCACTTGTGCCAGCAGCGCGGCCACAGGGCACAAAAATGATACCGTGCCGCATAGTGCAAAAGTGGGACACTGCTGTGCTGCAAGGTGCAAAAACCGGCCAATGCCATGCTGCGGGGCGCGGAAACGGTCCACCACCATGCCACAGGGCACAAAAACAGGCTGCCGCTGCACTGCAAGGTGCAAAAACGGACACTGCTGCACCACGGGGTGTGGAAACTGGCCACCACTGTGCCACGGGGCACAAAAACAGGCCGCCACCGTGCTGCAAGATGCAAAAACAGACACTGCCACACCATGGACTGTGGAAATAGGCCACTGCTGTGCCACGGGGCACAAAAACAGGCCGCCACCGTGCTGCAAGGAGCAAAAATGGCTGCCCCTGCACTATGGGGCGCAGAACCAAGACACTGTGCCATGCAAGAACGGGGCAGGAGTAGTGAGTATCACGCCGGCGCTACCCCGTCCCGTTTGCGGTACGCGTGTGCTCATGGCCCTGTGCGCACGTGCGCACGCACACGTGTAAAATGCTTTCCCCTCCTTTTTCCTCTGGTCCACCAACCTACAAAGGTTGGTGACCTTTGCTGTATAATAAAATTTATTTTAAAATAAAAACTATTAAAAGGATCTATAAATAATATGTATGTTTCCGACGAATCCCCAGTGCAGCTGCGCAGAATCGTGCCACCTGTGCCCTAATCACAGCGACAGATAGTCCTTGACTTACGAGCACAACGGAGCCCCAACTTTCCTTTGCTAAGTGAGACAGTTGCGGGTTTTGCCCATTTTACGACCTTTCTTGCCACTGTTGCTAAGTGAACCCCTGCAGTTATTAGTAAGACAATGGGCTCCCCCATTGGCTTTGCCTTGTCGGAAGGGGTTCTGTCCCAGCCTACTTGAGTTCCTTGTTAAGTTCACCCCTCTTCAAATCAAACAGGCAGAAACCGCAGGACAAACCCAAACCCCGTTTATTTACTCACAGACCTGGGGAAAACAAACACAGTCCATCGCAACTTGATTCCTAACCCGAACGGCTGCCTTCGGCAACCAGCACCTCCCACACCTCCCCTTTTAATTATGCAGCCAAGGCGTGGCTTCCGAATGCCTTCTCCTTTGCCTTTGGAGCCGCCCCATTGCCTCCCTCTGTCCTGCTCTCTTTGCTTGCCAGCGTTTAGGAGCGTCCTGGATGTCACTCAGCTGTGAGTCACCACTCTCCCCCTCAGCCTCCCAGCGCAGCTGTGTCTCCTCCTCAGACTGCAAGTCTTGTAGCTCCTCAGAGCCTCCCTCTGACTCTGATGACACTCCAGGCCCCTCCTCCTCCTCCTCTTCCGAGTCCTCAGACTCAGCTGCCGGATCCATGGGCTGGCGAGGAATCACAACAGAAACTCACCAAAGGGGATCACGTGACCCCAGGACGCTGCGGCTGTCATAAATACGAGTCGGTTGCCAAGCGCCTGAATTTTGATTGCAAGGATGCTACAAGTGTGAAAAACGGTCCTAAGCCACCTTTTTCCAAAGCTGTTGTAACTGAACGGTCACTAAACGAACAGTTGTAAATCGAGGACTGCCTATTTCTCCTCCCCTCCCCGCTTCAAATCCCCTGAAGTGGGAAAGAGCGTCCATGTTCCTTTTCTACGTAGCTCAGAAGAGCTAGAAACGGCGAACAGGCAGGCAGGAAGACTTCGACAGGCGTGTCGCTCCCCTCTTCCCAGCAGCATCGCTGATCAAAGGGGCTTCTCCCTGCCCAGCCCCATCGCCTGGCCCCAAAGTCTGGAGACCCCAGACAATGTCGGGGACCGAAAGCCTCCCTTACCTCACTCCCGCGTCTTCCTGCAAGGCGCAACCGGACCCCAGTCCAGAACCGCTTCGCTCCCGGAAGAGTTTCTCTTCTTGCAGGTGAGTTGGGTTTTTTTTAAGATGGCGAAGAAAGCTGCTCTAAAATGTTCAACCGAAGAAAGTGA